AAATTAGTAATTAAAGAGCAGGAAATACAGGAAGCATTCAAAGCAAGAATAGTTAATGGTGACATAATGCAAAAATTCATCCATCACAACAAGGTATTATTTTAGATGAAGACATCTGAATATTTAGCTGTTGAATACTTAGCCAGGATACATATTTACTGCACCTATAAATTCTCTAAACAAATTTCAAGGGATACAGCTATACATTGAACACTAGTAGTTTTGCCCCATCAGTTTGTTTGTTAGGGAAAAATCCTTAAAAATAAACAACACTCATAATAATTCTCTACTATTTGAACACTAAAAAGTAGACATCAAGAGGTCATTTCATAAAGCAAGTTATTTTATTAGGCAGGCAGAGCTGAGTGCACTTAGATTATTGAAGATTTACATTCCAGCTTTACATTGTGGCTTGCATAAATTCAAAGATATTCAGCCCACAAGGAAACCTGCAAAGCAGATGAGATGGAGATTTATCATGAATTGGGCTGTTGAAGTTGAGGGGAAAAGCCTCCATTCTTTGTTGGTTGGTTCCAGAGCTGAGGTACCTAAACATGGGCTTAGGAGCCTTCCTACAAGAACTTGCTTTAAAAAATGAATTTCTAAAAGGTTGCCACTCCACTCCCGCAAAGTAGGGGTCACTTTGTGAATAGCCTGGAAACTGGCAGGATACTATTGTCCTCACAGGCATGTAGCAGTTCTCCAAAAAGGGCCATATTTTTGGAGTTCAGTGTACCCACCCTACACACACCCACATCATATACCCTTAGAAAGCATATTTTATGTTCATTTAGATGAGGTATGATGCGGAGCTGACAAGTGGTGTTGTAAGCCTGTAGGTGAAGTAAAACAATGGTATCCAAAATGAATGTCGTCTTTTTTGTTGTTGTTTGTTTGTTTTTTTGCACAGTTCCAGAAACACTGCAACAAGATTAGGACTACAGATTTTACTGTGAATTTTAGTACCTTCATATGGTGTTTTTGTCAAAACTACCAAATGACAATGTATTAAAAGATTTTTATTGATTCTGTATGTGCAAGTTTTTTCCCCCAGAAATGATGAAAGTGTTTAGCATGTGGCAAAAATGGCAGATATCAACATTTTGCAATATACTAACATGAAATGTTTTCACATTGCATATTCTTAATTGTCAAAGTATCTAACAAGTGACTATTATAGTTTTTTATATTTTCAATTGAAATTTTCTGACCAGATCAGTCTCTCACTGACAGTTGTATACCAGTAGCAGTATGTAATGTACCCATAGTTTGAATTGCACAGTGAATAGATATAAATGTATGCGAATTCCTAATGTAATGCTTCTCCATTTGTAAGTTTTTGTACATACAATGAAGCATCTAGTCTACCTGGTATAAGGTTTTAATTTGTTGTTGCCTATGCATGCAGTACTAGCCTTTGAAATATTCTAGAAATTAGCTTTTGAATTCTGTGTCACTTATGCACAGGTCGATATTAATGTTAGAGATGACAATACCCAGCTTCATGTTGGGTTTCAGTCAAAATGCTCACTAAACAAAATGGCAATCTGAAACCAATATACTTTGGGAATCTTACCTCTACACAAGTTACACTAGGTGAAGATATTGAGGATACAAGTCCCCTAAAGCTTACATCAGAGAAGAAGGGTCTCCACAAACTTTGAAAAATGTGCTTATTTGTCAAGAAAATCGCAAGAATGCAAAACTGTGAAAAGCCACCAACGCTGGACAGAATTCTATGCTGGTGGCAGCAGTAGCCAGGAGAGATTAATTGTACTGGTGGCTATTGGATGAGTTTTCTAGTTTAGATTCCTTGCCATCAATACTCTATCACAGGGTTTGCTTTCAGAAATGTACACTCAAGTCCAATTTGGCATGTCAGAGTTGTATTGAACACAAGATGAGAAACTTGATGAAATAGAAGCATTTGAGAGAGCAACCAATCTAAGAGAGGCAGCACTTCAGAGAGGAGATGACATGTTGTGCAGAACATCTGTGGAAGATGTGATTGAGAAGGATGCTGTTTATCATTCAACATGCCTTTTTTTTCCCCTACATGAGTAAAATGAATCTAGTTAATGGCAACGATACATTGCATTTTATCAGCTGACTGAAGAGAGAGACAATGGTCTTATGTATAATAATAATAAAGCTCTTCTCCTGTCCAAACTGTTACAAAGATATAAAACCCTGCTTCCCTCAGATGCAGAAATTGCAAATTGTAACAAGTTACAGGCAAGATTAGAAAAAATACTGTGGTTCTGCAATTTAATTCCAAGCACAGCATGGACAAGACACGTCTACCATTGTTCTGTGTAGTGCAATAACATTAGCTGACACTCTCCAAGTTGCTAGTAACCTGAAACAGAAATTTAAGTCATCTAAATGTTTTGTGGACGCTCTTCTGGTGAGTGAGTCTGATGAACAGCTTTCAAGTAAACAAGTTTTCTATAATTATTCTTCAATCCTTTGGTCTGAAACAGGCAAAACGATAGTCTCAGAATATTGTCCAAAGGTGATTGTAGTTTAGAGGTAGTTACTTTTGTGGCCCAGTTGGTGAAGGAGTTTGTCCCTTGGTGGTTAGATAATGAGGCACGTTATTCAGCCAGCAATGAGTATCCTCCTTCCGAAGACATTCAAAGAAGGTGCTTCTCAGCTGCAGAGTGCATAGTATTTAATATTTCCAAAATTATCACACCGCTGCGCATGAGCCTTGCTGCACAGCTACACCAAGAGTTTGGGTCACATAGTTTATTTGACATACTATGCCTTCATGAATTCTGCATCAATTATGAGTTGAGGTGGTTCATCACTAGTGCTGCAAAAAAATGAAGTAGAAAGACTCCAGGGAGGTATATTCATTCCAAATAGAATTGTGTCAATTCACGCTGGTGGAAATCTCGTCCATGAAGGGGATGATCATATAGACCATTGATGGAAAGAATACCGTCTATTCGATGGCTAGAGTGGTATTTCAGAAACAGTCTGCAGTTAGTCCAGCCTCACAAGAAATATTACTGAAGCATGGGAAAGAAATGTCTGAAGACGCCGAGTCCTTACAACATATCGTTAAAGAGACTGATGATACTGTAACTCAGCATATGCTAACACTATTGGAGGAATTTCAGCCCTGGGTGCATCCCCAGTTTCCTACATTCAAGTTCGGGGATCAGTTTCTCTCATTTTCCTGAAACTTCATACACACACACATTGAGGAATTTGATCCTTAATGTAAGTAAAAATTGTCTTTATTTTACAACATATCAGAACTATTTTAAAATACACTGACAGCTGTCCTAAGGGAGCAGCAAAATAGTTTGCCTTGATAAAAGTGCTTTGCCTTTAAAGATCAAAGACTATTGTATGAAAAACGTAGAGAAGTTAATTAAGATAGTGTGGTTGCCTGTTAGAGACTGTCCTTAATTCAGGTCTCCCAATGCTAGTAGCTTGATACGTTATATCATCCAAAAATACCTTTATGGTCACTATGATGCCAGTGGCACAGCACAAGAGACTGGCAATCTCTGTTTCTAGGATAGTGGTTTGAATCCAGCAGACCTCTGCACTGACCACAAAACACTATAATCTAGTTCCCATACAGTGGCCTATGTGAGATGGAGATGGTGGATTCAGTTTTCTAGTGGCTGGCAGTTTGAGGGAGGTAAATAACTAAGAGAGTCTCAGGTTGCTAGTAAAAGTCCATGTACAGCTGGTATGCTTTGGCTGGCTAGTGTAGCTATTCTCAGGAGGAAGACAAATCTGTGGGGTAAAAAAGGAGTATGCCTCCCAGGTATCAAATAGGCTAGCATTTCAACAGAATTAACTCCACTGGAAAGGGGCAAAAACATGGGGGTGAGGGGTGAGAGGGATGACCAGGCTAATCCACATGAAATCCAGTCTCTGTTTGTCCTATACTCTGCCATTCTTCAGGCTAGCTCAATCTGACCCTGGAGCACAATACAATTATCCAAGGCTGACAATTTAGTTGTATGCAGCTAGATAAATCAGCCGCAAGGGCGTGCTAAAGAGCGCTGCAGAACGAGGAGCGGGATGGGAGGTGTGATGCTGGGGTTTTCCCATTTTGCAATACTCTGGTGGCTGGGATGGATGGGCCCTTTTTTGTATTAAGAATGGCCTCGGCTGATATTTTAAAGGGGTTTCGGGATTGAGGGTGTAATGGGGGAACGTGATGTCCCGGTATAAACAATGAGTAGAAATGGTCGCAGCAAAGGCTCTGCGCCATGCGGTGCATGTCTGTGTCCGGCTGGATCCCAGCTGCTTGCACATCTGGGTGCCGTATATAAGAGGAGGAGGGTGTGTGTGAGAGAGCGAGCCTGGATCCAGGATCCTGCCGGTGTGGCGTCATTTACTGCCGGGGGCGGTGGGGGGCATGTACCGGAGCCATGTCCCTGTGTGCCCGTGAGACCCCGAGTTTAGCAGGGTGGTTGATGGGGAGGGGGGCGGGAATCCTGTCCTGGGCATGGTGTTAAGGCGGTGTGAGTGGCATCCTGCCGCCGGGTTATTTCGGATGGGGCCGGGGTAGGCTTGGGTGGGACTCGCCTGTCCGGGTGAGAGCGAGATCCTGGGTTTGTTTGGGCGTGCTGGGGAGTGTGTGTGTGGGGGGGAAGTTATGTAATGTGAACGCGTGGGGGGGACGGGGGGGACGACCTGCCGAGGCGATTCAGGGTGGGAGCCCCTGGGGAACAGCGGTGTGGGGTGAATACAGGCTGCAGGGTGGATGGGGTGGGGGTGGGGGAGAGGGGGTGGGGGGTGCGGGGGCCGCGATCTCCGCAGGGCTCGTGGCTCGGCGCGCGGGGACTCCTCGGCGGGGCGAGTTGAAGAAAGGAGGCTGCTTTGTGCGAGTGACTGATGCAGTGTCACAGCAGCGGGGGGGGGGGGGGGGGGGATTTGGGGGGGGTCTCCTGCCATTGCCCGGCTCAGCCTGATTCGCCCCCCCCTTTTTTTTTTTTTTTTTTTTACTGAAGTCGAGCAAAAAAAGCTAAACCTGCTGCCAGCTCCAGCCCGGGAGGCGCTGATCTGAACGGGTCCAAGGAGATCATTTTTTCCTGCGAGGGGAAAAAAAAAAAAAAAAGCCTGATTTCCGGTCACCCTGCTGTCGTGTCCTCCCCCCCCCCCCCCCAAGATTTCAGAGGTGCAGGCGAAGGTTGCCGGCAGCTCCTGGGGGGAGGGGCACAGCTCTTTGTTCCCGTCGGATTTGGGGAGCAAAGGAGGGAAGAGTGGAAATGTACCAGGACGTGCTGCAGTGACAGCTCCCCGGGTGCTGAGTGCCTGGCAGGGGGAAGGGGAGCAGGGGACCAAATGACTGTGAGGAAGGGCGCAAGCGGCTGAGACCTGCCGCTCCCGGGACTGAGCTGCGAGCCGCGGGGCTGGATGGCATCCGCCGCCGGCCTCCGGGATGGCCCCCGTCCCTAGAGCCCCGGGGCGGCCGGCGGGGAGCCCCCGCGGGAGCGGGCTCGCCATCGCGGCGGCTCTGGGTCTGGTGCATGGCCGGGGGCTTTGGCGCGCCGGCGGCCGCTCGCCGGGACGGATGAGTGACTGCAGCCCGGCCCGGAGGAAGGTCTGCCGGTGGGGGAGGAGGAGGATGGCGGCCGCGGGGCCGGTGTGTAAGTGTCCCCGGACCCGGCTGCCCGTAGGGGGGGCCAGCGCCTTGTGTGTCTTTGTCCTTTGCTGGCTCTACATCTTCCCCGTGTACCGGCTGCCCGACGAGAAGGAGGTCGTGCAGGGGGTGCTGCTGCAGCAGGGCAAGGCGTGGAGGAGCAACCAGACCGCAGTCACCGGCTTCAGGTACCAGCCTCCCTGCCCCATGCCCAGGGGCAGCCAGGGACAGGCGGAGCGGAGCGCAGTGGGCCCCGTGTACAGCCCCCCTCCCCCGAAAGAACCCAACTTTGTTTGTCATACTCAAATATTTATCTTTATTTAGCCCCCGCCCCCAAGAGTTCAGATACAAACACTTGGCGTCTTTAACTAGTGGGGGGCTGGCTAGACCCTTCTGCTGTGAAAAGTTTTTTTTGAAGGGGTGGGGATAGTGGTTTGATATTTTTGGGATCCTGTGTGGGGAGTGGGGGAGGGCTAAAGGAAGACCCATGTTTCTTTCTTTTCTTCTCCAAATAAAACCAACACCGAGGTCTCTCCCGGGAAAGCAACGGGCGCTCTCACTTCTCTGGCTGTTGCGAGCTTGGCTGTACCCCGGGATCATGCCACGCTGCAGTGATGCCTTTTGGCCCCTAACAAAGAAAAAGCCCTTCGTGCTCCCCTGGCTTGTTGATTTTTCAATGTGTGCCTGAGACACCCGAGTGTGTTTCCAGGGATTGGGAGGGAAGATGTGTAAGCAACTCCCCCAACATTGGAATCAAAGCTGCAAGGAGACCCTTGCTGAGCACTTTATTATGCAAAACATGTGGCGAGTCTAGTGGGTTATTTTTGTACATGTCTGTGCATCTCCAGAGCCCCGCTCATCAAAGTGTAAATTTCACCTTCTCCAGCTGCAAAGGGAAAGGTGAACGCTGCAGTTAGGACTCATTGAAGGACCAGGCTCCTGCTACTCAAGGGATTTTCCAATGAGTCTGGTTTGAAACTAGGTACAATGTGGGTCTGCGGTGCCTTGAAAACCACTCCCATCTATTGGCTAATCATATGATCTTTGGGAATATATAGCCTGACTTCTTTTTTTTTCTCTTGCTTCCAACCCCCTCCTGGGGTGCTGAAACAATTTGTATGGTGGGGATGCTGAGAGCTATTTAACCAAACTGTAAACTCTGTATATGATGGAAACCACTTCAAGCCAGAGAGTGCATCACTAGTTCCAGCACCTTTGTCCCCCATCATCTGGCTTTCTTCCTCTCCTCTTGGTAGCAAATGGAAGATGAGGAAGATGAGGAAGATCAAGTTACAGTGGGGGAGGTTTAGATTGGATATTAGGAAAAACTTTTTCACTATGAGGGTGGTGAAACACTGGAATGTGTTACCTAGGGAGGTGGTAGAATCTCCTTCCTTAGAGGTTTTTAAGGTCAGGCTTGACAAAGCCCTGGCTGGGATGATTTAACTGGGAATTGGTCCTGCTTTGAGCAGGGGGTTGGACTAGATGACCTTCTGGGGTCCCTTCCAACCCTTATATTCTATGATTCTATGATTCTATGAGGGAGTATTTCCCTCCAGAAGGCCCTCTATCTGTAGTGAGTGCCAGAATAAATCGTGTCTGAATGTCAAGGAACTCTTTTTCAGAACACTGAATTGTTTTCTATGACATGATCCTTGCAGTGCTTCATTTGTAATGAAAGAGATGCCAGGGATCAAGCAATTAGGTGCAGGGGCTTACGTAATTTTTTTTACTTTCATAACTGATGTGGCAAGCTCAGAGAAACTGGGGCTATGAACTGCCAACCCTACAGTTGCCAGGGCTCAGCCCTGTCAAGCCCTGGCACAAATTAAGCACTGCATCCTTGAATGATTTTTAGATGTAATTCAACTTTCTGAAATCTTATACTGGGGCCAGCCTAGGATGCAATTACTTTAGGTCCTGTCTGCCACAATAACAAAAACTTTACCGATCATTCAATTCCTTAAAATCAGATTCTTATCCTCTGAGGCTTTCAGGGAATATAACCAATCTTGGGTGATATAAGGGGGTATTTGCTAATATCAGTTCACTGGCCAGGCATGACAGAAGCTACTTCTTTAATGCAGAGCTAGCAATAACAGCCAAGCAGCTGCAGAGGACTTTGTTCCATACTATTGAGAAGAGAATAAATTCGAAAATGCTTCAGTCTGCAACAAACAAGGCTGATCTTTCCAGATACAGGTTCCTCTTCATCCCATCTATGCACAGGCTCCCAGTTCCTTGTTTGGGTGACTATTTTTTGGGGGGTGCCTGGATAGGTGATGTGGGAAATAATTTGCTATATGACTTTTCAGTTTTATAAACCAACAGCTGGTTTGATGACTGCACCGGTGCTACAACTTTCAAATTTAACCTTACTTTTTAGCCATTTCCCTCAGACTGTTTATAAACACCAGCTTTTGGTGCCTCCTCCACTTACTTCATTTACACTTGCATTTTCGCACAAACCCCTAAACATAACTGATTATTGCAAAGTTGTTTCTTTGAAAGGAAGAAACTTGCCAAATAAAAGAAGTTGTTGCTTCTGGAGACAAGAAGCTAATGGGGACGCTTGCGTTGGAAATTATAAATGGAAAATATACCAAAATAGTCAAGTGACTTTAAACTGTCCCTGTGTGCATTTGCTCCTGTTAATTTTGGTGGCAGGATATCGTGTTAAACCCATGACAGTTAATTTTTGTCTATATTGTAAAAGTATTAACTAAAAGAAGGAGGCTTTTGCTTTACATGGAAACTCAAGAATCATTCAGTTTTATATTTAGGGGAAGGTGTGCTTAGAGCCCCTCATTTCAATTCTTACTGGAAACCAATTGAGGTTATGAATAAACATCTCCTTTGCTCTTGACTGGGGGTAACAGGAAATGAGGCAGATTTTGTAATTAATTGATGCCACAGATGTCATCTGGGAATTGAACCTAGATCTCATAAGTCCTTGTCCAATGCCTTAGCCACAAAACTACCCTCCGTGCACCATGTTCCCAAAGCTCTTGATGCATGATCTGGCTCTTTCCTCAGCACAACCTCCTCCTTGTGCAAATAGTCTGTACTCCATGCACACTAGTGGAACTACTTCCATCAGGACTACTTGCCTGTGTGAGGTTTTGCGGAATCAGTTCCCAAGTGAGAATTTACCTCTTATAAATACAGAAGTATCACTCTTGTGCGGCTCATTATTTTAGTTCCCTATCTGTGTTGTCCCATTGGCTTTCAATGGGACTACATGCATAAGTAAGGACAGCTCATGCCAGTAGTAATAGTTGCAGGGTCAAGCCTTTGATCTGGTACATTGAGATGACTACGTATTTTAGGCACATATTTTAGGCTTTATTCTGCAAACCTCACCTAGGTGAGTAATCCTTACTGCACATCAGCAGTACTGTGCATCTGAATAAAGATTGCTGATGTACTTAAAGCTTTGCAGGATAGGCCCTTCATTAGTAAGGTGTAATTTTAGTTTACTGAGATTGGGTATGATCTGGCATTCCTTATTTAGATACGCCTTCTTTTGAAGTCAGTGGGAGTTTGATCTTGTTAAGTTTCAGAGTAGCAGCCATGTCAGTCTGTATTCGCAAAAAGAAAAAGAGTACTAGTGGCACCTTCGAGACTAACCAATTTATTTGAGCATAAGCTTTCGTGAGCTACAGCTCACTTCATCGGAAGTGAAGTGAGCTGTAGCTCACAAAAGCTTATGCTCAAATAAATTGGTTAGTCTCTAAGGTGCCACTAGTACTCTTTTTCTTTTTGATCTTGTTAAAGAAGAGCAGAATAGCTGCCTAGCATTACCATCATTCTTGCATTCTTGCAGTTTAAAGACATTCATAACTGAGAATAGCCAAAGTGACTGCCATGGAACAATCTCTGTTGATCTCTGACAAACCATGAGTAACTTTCAGTCAGTCAAGTGGAAAACTGCTTACTCTTGTACTTCTCAGATTATATGGTGGCAAAAATATTATTTATAGGTATGAGACAAAGTCATTACAAGTCACTAATTAATAATGACTCGTCTTTTTCCTGTGGGGTTTAATATTACATCCCACTTGTTTTGTGGCTTCTTCAGTTTTTTAAGGGCTCAGTCCCGCAGTCCTTATTTAGGCAAAACTCCTGCTAACTATGGTACTCCAAACTGCTTCCTTTGTTATTACTTAGGTAAACAAAATAAAAGAATACGTTTTCCTTTCTCTTTTTTGTATGATTATTTCACTTAAAGTTATTGCAAATAATGAAAAGATCTATTCCCACATTTGATCTGCTCCTGAGGACAAAACTATTACTAATACTCAGCATCACTAAGCATCCAAATAGCCAAAGTGCTATGTATAGTTATAGGCAGGGCTGGTAGCACCACCTATTGTTAAGGATGCTAGATGTTCTGCTTCATTCAGTGCACGGGGTGTAGCTATTTGGGGGATGAATCAAGGTTGTGAAGTGAAGAAGGCTGTTGCCTGTAGGAACCCTTTCATTTGTGGCAGAAGTTAGAAGGTTTATAGTGAATGAGGCAGGGGACAGCAGAAAGAGAAAGGATGGTTTCAAGATTAAGGCAGTTGAATGACACTCTGGAGAGCTGGAATTGTTTCTTGCCTCTTCTGTGATGTTGGGCAAGTCACTTAAACCAAACTTTTCACATGTGGTTATTAATTGCATGTTCATCATTTTCTGGGTGCCTGACATGATACTTCAGGGCCTGATTTGCAGAAGTGCTGAGCACACAAAGTTGTAGCTGAAGTCAATCAGAGCTTTTCATTGAATGTATAAAGTACTCTGAAAAATCAGGTCCTAGGCATGTCAGATTGGGCATCCAAAGTAGTGGAAACTTTTGACCTTGCCTCAGTCCTGGTCTACACTATGAATTTACTTTGGTATAGCTTCATCTGTCAGGGGTGTGAAAAATACCTAACCCCCGGTGTAAACAGCACTAGGTTGATGGAGGAATTCTTTATGTAACGAGGCGGTGTGGTCCCCCGCCGCCCTGGAGAGGGACGAGCCCCTCCGGACACCAGAGTGGGTGGGACCAGAGAGCTCTGAGCCCACCTCCCAGAAGGTCAGGCTCAGGACAGGAAGTAGAAAAGCATGGCCCCAGAGCTGACTTGGGGTGCAGCTGCTGGAGAGGCCAGATGCCTCCGGCTTAGCTTCCGGCTGGGAGACCTTGGTGACCAGCAGCGGATCT